GAAAATCCGGGACAGGGTCCCTGTAACAGTGAGGGAACTGGCTGCAGATGACCCTGAAGTTGAAACAGTGAGTGGTGGGAGAGAACTGATGGTGTTCATGGAATAACTAAGCACAAATGTCACCTTCTCTGTCACCCTCCTCCTCCTCTGGCAGGTGAGGAGCCGGGGGCTGCCCGATGACCACGTGGGGCCAGTGAGGGTGGTGGACATTGAAGGCATCGACTCCAACCTGTGCTGTGGGACTCACGTCTCCAACCTGAGTGACCTCCAGGTGGGCTCCTGCAGCTGGGCTGCCCCTGGGAGCCAGGCTGCACATGAAGTGCAGCCAGAGTCCCTGGGATCCACAGGCTGCTCCAGGCTGTGCTGGTGGGGAAAGGGGTGGCAGAGCCCCAGGGTGAGGGAGCCCCAGGAGGGTCACACACGGGCTGGGTGCCACAGGAGCTTTTGTTTCCTTGTTGCAGAGCTCAGCCCTGTGATGTTTTTGCACTGCCAGGGGTGTTGGCCACGTTCTCTCTGCTTAAAGCTCTGATATTTTTGAATGTTCATCATGGATGAGAAATCTGTGCAGGGAAATGGTGATAAAATCCTAGACTGCCTTTAAGTATTTGTACTTTCTCAGTCATTGGTTGGAGTCCGTTTCCCAGCAGATACATCCAGATGCCCTGTAGAGTACATCCCATGGCTAGAAGATTGCATAAATTCCACTGTACTTTTTTTTTTTTTATGTTGATCTTATGGCTGATTTTAATCTATTTGTTTTCACTAGCAAAGAGTTAAAATTCATTACAAGGCATAATCTGGCAGGAACTGATCAACTATGTGAATTATCAAAATGCTGTTCTGACCAGGTTGATTTTCTTTTGAAGGTTATTAAACTCCTTGGCGTGGAAAAAGGGAAAAAGAACAAAACCAACTTGGTTTTCTTGGTGGGAAACAGAGTGCTGAAGTCAATCGAACAAAGTCACAGTACTGAGAAGGCTCTAACCTCCCTGCTCAAGTAATCCCCTTTCCACTTCTGTTATTTCATCTTCACTCCTCCTCCTGAGAGATACCACATAAGCCTCAGGGTGCATGTTGTGGGGCTGTGTGTGATGTTGTCTGTTTTGCTCCTTTAGGAAATTCTTCCTCTGTCCTTCAGAGCAGTGATCCAAAGTCTCCCATTTCTTTCAGAAATGGACCAGGTGAGCACGTGGAGGCTGTGAAGAGACTGCAGAGCTCTGTGAAGCTGCTCCAGAAGGTACAAGAACAGCTGGGAAAAGTGGGTTGTCACTATTTCCTGTAGGCCATTAGTTGTGGTAACTGGGGGGAGTCAAATCATTGGCTTCAATTTTTGTGCATATTGTGAAAAGTGCTCAAACCTCTGGGAACACAGCTGTGTTCACAGTGACTTCTCCAGCTGCAGTACAGTTAATTTCCTTTTCTTTCAGAATAACCTGAACCTGCTTAGAGACATTGCTGTTTTGATAGCCCGGGACTTCAAGAGCAAACCTGCTCCAAAGCAGCTCTTTGTGTTGCACAGGTATGGGGGAGCTCAGGGAAGAGGGGCCAGCAGTGTCCCACAGGTTTTATGGCTCTTGGATCTCTCACACCTTGTGAGAGCAGCTTGTTTTCTCAAGGGAGAATGTAAACAAAGGAAATAGAATATTAAACCGCCTTGGCCTGCTGCAAAGTTGTGTAATTAAAGGAATCTCTAATTCAGTCACTGAATTCTTCTGGTGCTGTAGCTGAGAAATTGCTGTGTCCATCTAATTCCCTCTGCACTTGATATTTTCAAATAAAACCTGGGAGCTCTATTTCTTAAAGATAACACTTGAATAATTCCTAAAGGAGAGCCCAGCAAGGATTTACACCTATAGACAAGAGAAAGAGGCCAAAATCTCTAATCATGCACTTGGTTTCTGAATTGAGATTTTGTACTCTAGAGGGGGGTTTTGCTTCTTTCTGAAGTGTTTTTTTATCCATCCATACAGGAAAGAGGGTGATTCTGAATTTATGAACATCATTGCTAATGAGATTGGGACAGAGGTGAGTCACTGATGAAGACTAAACTGGCACCACTCTTTTCTCACCCCAGTTTTACATGGACAGGGGCTGGCCAGGCTGCTGTTCCTGCCACAGTCATGATCTGCAGATCTGGTTCCCTTGACAGGTACCTGAGGTTTCCTGTCCCCAGCAGCCTCAGTCTGCAGGGCAGTTCTCAACAGTGAGAATTCAGAGCACTGGAGAAAAGCCCCAAGAGCTGTACAGAGCCTCACTGGCTGAAATAGGTTAGGATAGGATTAGGTAGGAGTAGAATAGGAAGAACAGCAAGTTTCAGTCACAATCACCTAGTTCAGCTGACAGCTGTGTCCTTTTAACTTGGGATACCCCAAGCAGTGTCAGTCTCAGTAATGCACATAGATTTCTGAATTGTCAGTTTGGTGTTTGTGTCCTGTGGCCACTGTGGAAAGCACTGATTTATCTAGAGCAAAGCCCATCTCTGTCCACAGGAAACCCTGCTATTCCTGACCGTGGGAGATGAAAAAGAAGCAGGACTCTTCCTTCTAGCTGGACCTGTTGAAGCAGTTGAAAATTTAGGTCCCAGGTAACGTTTTGTGTTTTATTTAACTCGAGTGAGAATTCTGATGTTGCAGACGTGATGAGCAGCTGCACAGTGTGATCCAGGCAGGGATCTGTGTGTGCTGGAGCAGCCTGGGCTCCAGCCTGTGCTGTTGCTGCTGCAGGGTGGCAGAGCTGCTGGGAGGGAAAGGAGCTGGGAAGCGCGGCCGCTTCCAGGGCAAGGCAGCCAAGATGAGCCGGCGAGGAGAAGTGCAAGCTCTGCTCCAGGAATTCATCAGCAACCAAAACCCTGGAGCATGAGAGACAATTCTCAAAGTAGCTTTGTCTTATATTTGTTTGCACAGGCTCCACTAGCTTCTCTACCAGAGAATAAAGACCTGAACCCAACAGCTGGTGTGCACATGCTCTGCGTGGGCTGCTCACGGAAATGGGGAGGGGATCTGCCATCAAGGCTTTGCTGCAAGGGCTCAGTTGTCAGAACAAATGGTGCAGGGGTTAAAATAGTCCTTAATTAACTACTTTCTAGGGTTCCCAAACCCAGAAGGGGCCTCCTGCTGGCAGTACTTTGGGGCATTTTGCTTTTGTGCCAGTTGCTGAGGAGAAGTTTCTTGGTACAAATGCTCAAGCAAGAGGCAGCTGCTCCCCCCAGACTCCTTGGGCTGGGTGAGGGCAGAGAGCATCTGGAAGGAAGAGCAGGTATCCCAGAGACAAGAGATCATTCCTCACCACATACCATACCTTTCCCTTGGTGGGGTGCTGTTGTTAGTGGTCGTTTTTTGACCATCAATAGTTTCTGGAGCTGATGCAGCTGTAAACTCCCTTGGGATCAGGCAGAGCTGTCCCTGCTGTTCCCTCAGCTCACCCTTCCTGCCCAGGCAGGCCCTGGAGCTGCTGCAGTCTCCTCTGGAGGAACTAAAGGGCGCTGTGGAGCCACAACAGGGCTCAATAGGTAATTTGAGAATTTACTCTTCTCCTTCTTGCCAGAAATGGTGTGACAAGTTTACCCCAGGTGTTGGTAATAAACAGAGAACCAGAATAAAAGAAACCTCCATCCTAAGGAATTTTATCTGTCATGAACATGGGGATGGGAGCAGCCCCAGCAGATCAGGTTCCCACCCATGGCTGCTGTGACTGCTGCATGGCCACAGCCTTGGCTGAGCTGTTGGGATGGCACCAGGACAGAGGGAGCACCACTGAGGCCTGGAACTGGTGTGGGGTCAGAGCTGCAGGGGCCGTGCTTTGGGAGTGATCCTACACATGCACAGAGTGTGTATTTTGTGTATTTTGGACTATCTCACACTGATGAGGATGTTTCCTGAGAAGGTTTAGCTGGGCTGTGCAGCCTGCACAGCTTGCAAGGCAGCAGGCTGAGCCCTCAGGACTTCCTGAGTGAGCACTGGGCTGCGGTACTGAGGTGAGAGGGGCATGACCCCAACCCCACACCATGGCAAAATAAATGCCAGTTCTGTCCCCAACACCCTGGGGACTTAGCACAGCCCCAGCTAAGCCAGTTGATCCCAAAGCTGAGCTCGTTTCTGTAAGCAGTGAGGTAACACAAGTTTGTCCCTGTTCCTGGGTGCACACAAAGTGCACCCAGAAACCTTGGATAAACAGCACAAAAAGCAGCTCATTGCCCCCACTGTGCTGTCAGGGTTCAGCTGTATCTCAGGACAAAAGGTAAAGACCCAGGGCACTGGGCAGTGCCCTTCCCAGTGGCTTGAACACATCTTGCAGCTGTTGAGGGTCTTCAGCCCCCAGGAGAAATGTCCTTCCTCTACCACCTGCAGCCATGGCACAACCCTGCCTCTAGGAGCTGATCCCCCATCCCATGGTGCTGGCCAGCAGGACACTCAAACTCTCCAGCTAAACAACCTTCATCTTTAATCAAACACCTCCTGTGCCCAGCCCCAGCCCCCCCATGTGCCCAGCTCCATGCAGTCCTTGTGTGCCCCCCACACTGACCACAGGGGTGAGCACCGAACGTCCTCCCAGGGCTGGGGGTCCCTCACCCACACTGGCACTCGATCTCCATGTCAGTCTGTCCTTCCTGTCACAGAGCTGCCTCTTCAGCACGCTGAGGTGACAGCGCTGCTGCCAGTGGTGCTGTCCCCAGCCCTGCAGCACAAGGTGGGCTGTCCCCACGAGCTGCAAGGGAGTGCAGGACTTCTCACTGCTGCTGCTGCTGCTGGGTCCTGGGCAGGTGTCCCCCAGCCGTGGGTGCAGGAGGGACAGCAGGGCAGTCGTGGGCATGCAGGGCTCTCTCTCTGTGCCACCAGCCAGCCCAGCCGGACTGGCACTGTGGGACTGGCACTGTGGGTCCGTGTTGTGGGAGCTACCCAGCAGCACCACCGGCCCAGCCTCCATTGTCAGCTCCCAGTACAAACCAGTGGCTGAGGTGCCCCCAGGGCCTGGCAGCTGCCCCTGAGCCACCCTGGGGTGCCTTAGGCCGCCTTTTTGTGCCGTGTGGCCAGCAGCTGGGCCAGGCAGTAGGGGATGAGGCCCACGGTGGCCAGCGGCACGGCCGCGCTCTTGCAGAAGGAGAGGGCGTAGAAGAGCAGCTGCACGTGGGAGGGAGGCTTGAAGGCATCGAAGACGTGGAGGATGAGGAGGGAGGCAGCGATGCAGCCCAGGCGGAAGAAGGGCAGCTGCTGGCCCTGCGTTAACCGGGAGCTCTCCTGGTACAGGTGGCAGTTGAGGGCCAGCCCCAGCCCGAAGAGGATGCCCAGGTTACGGAGGAGGCTGGCAAAGGGAGTGGTGTCAATGTGCACCCACTCAGGGTTGCTGCACCACTTCTGTGCCTTCTCCAGCGTCCAGAGCAGGTCCACGCCGAATGTCCACAGCAGCAGGTAGAAACCCAGGGTGAAGCTGAAGAGGAAGAGGGTGATGCCCAGGTACCGATGGAAGCTGGCGTGGTAGATGCAGCGGACGTGCTGGAAGGTCTTGGCCACAGCCATCCCTGCCAGGAACAGAGTGGGAGCACTGGTCAGTGCTGCAGGTGCTGCAGTGCAGCTCAGTGTGCAGCAGGGACAGGGAGGGGGGGTCAGGTCAGTGCTGCAGTTCCAGCACAGTGTTGCTGGTGCTGCAGGGACAGGGAGGGGGTATTGGAATTAAATACCAAGGGGGCCTCTGGTGCACTCACCTGAGAACACCCCTGCAATCACCTGGTGCGGGAAGTGAGCGGCAATGAAGACTCGGGACATGCAGACACAGACCTGAACTGCCCAGAAGCCAATCCAAAGCACCATCCACAGCACCCTGTGAGGGACAGGTGGCCATGTGGGTGCCAGGGCCAGCTTGCACTGCCCATGGCACTGCCATCACGTACTCCAGACAATGCCTGGCTGTCACTGAGCCTGTCCCCATGCTGCAAGCCCACAGCCTCGCACCTCGATGGGCTTGGCTGTGCCTGTCAGTGCTGGAGCCACCTCTGCCTGGCACAGGTGGTTTTGGCACTCAGCTTACCAGTATCCCAGTGTCCTTGACTGCTTCTCTCCCCCAGCAGCAGAAAGAAGGGCTGTCACCATCACGTAGTACACGCCTGCTGCACCCATGGCATGGCCAGATGGGCTCCCTAGCAAGAAGAGAGAGCCAGGTCAGGCTCTGCACGGGCCAGAGCTCAGCACCCACAGGGGTTTGTGCCGAGCCACCACAGCTTCACCAGGGGTCAAGGTGTGCTCTGTGCAGGGGCTGCCCTGCCTCCTTCCCCTGCAGGCACAGCCAGTGTCCCCAGCACACTGCAGCCTCTCTGCGGAGCTGTGCAGGGCTGGGTGCTCCCTGCAGGCTGCCAGCACCAGGCCAGCACCCCCTCTTTGCCTGTTCAGGTCAAGCACCCCCTGCCCCTGGCTGCAAGCCCCTGCCATGGCTCAGGGAACCCTACCAGGGCCAGTCTCGCAGGTGAGAGGGAACTGCTGGATCTCTGGTGCAGAGCTGTTGCCATAATAGTCTGTGTCAAGGACCCACCAGTACGGTCTCTCCCCAAAAAGGATCCTGAAAAGAAAAGAGAAGGGGTTTATGGAGGTCCAGGGCCCAACTGCAGCTTTAGATCTGTCCTGAGAGATGGAAGAAGCAAAGCACCCACAAGTGGTGCAGGGCATCCTGGCAGACACAGCACCCAGCTGATTGCCTGGTTCTGACAGCCAACACTGCCTGCCCATGTCCCCATCCCCAGCCCTGAGAGCAGGAACACCCTGGAAGCAAGCCAATATCGCCTCCTGTGCTGAGGGGCTCTGTGAAGATCCCCCCACTCAGCACCAGCCCTGGCTGGTGGGAGGCTCTGCTTGCAGGAGGCTCCGTCCCTGCTCGGAGCAGAGGGGGAGAGCTGTTCCTGCATGGCTTGGGGAGGAGTGACCTTGGTCACTGCCCAGCTGGGGCTGAGAGCACCCACATCAGTGCAGGTGTGCCAGCACAGGTGGGAGTGCTGGCTCAGGGCCACTCACCACTTGAAGACGAGGTTGAGCCAGTCTCCAATGACAGCCACCCAGATGAGCCTGATGCCCACGGCCTCACTGAAGTGGAACCAGATGGGGAAGAGGACAAAAAAAGCATTCCTGAGATCAGCAGCGTAGGAGATGAAGAGGAACCAGTCCTGGGAGCCCTGGAAGCGCTGCTGCAGCCAGTGTGTGGTCTGGATGCCCACATCATGCAGGAGGTCCATGTGGGCCTCCATCCTCCCCCGCTGCCCTCGGCGTGCCTCCGGCTGTCCCCTGCTCCACTGTGCCACTGGGGTTTTATACTCTGCAGGGTCCTGTTTGCAGCAGGCAGGTCACTGTCCCAGCACTGATCTTTGGACCCAAAAGCACTCTTTGCAAAGGTACATCACCAGGGGGTTGTGACAAACATGTTTGGAACAGCTTACGTAAAAGGGGAAAACGGGTTTGGAGGGCACGTGGAGAGCAGTGCTCCAAGCCCAGCACCATCCCCTCACTCAGGGGGATCCTGCAGCCCTGGCTGCTCCAGCTATGCAGCACAGCAGCCCTGACTGACCCACAACAGCACAGCAGCTCTGACTGACCCACAGCCCTTGATCTGACTGACAGCAGCTCTGACTGACCCACAGCCCTTGATCTGACTGACAGCAGCTCTGACTGACCCACAGCCCTTGCTCCGTGATCCCACACTCTGTGTGACAGTCCTGCAGAGCTGCCATGGCCAGGGCTGACAACTGCTCTGGTCTCTCTGCCATCCCCTCATGAACCACCACCAGAGCATGGTGAGGATGCCCAGGAGCATGCAGAGGGTGCATGGAGCACAGGGCAGACTGTCCTGCCCTCTCCTCATTTGCCAGGCTAATTTAACTTTGCATAATGGGAAACTTTCAAAGCCATTCCTGGAGGTTCCTGCAGTCCCAGAGAGCCAGGTCTGGGGTGCTCCTGGCTGCCAGTTGTGTTCTTCTGATCGCTAATGGGGAGCTGAAGGACCTTTGCAAATAGGGACTGCATTTCTCCACTGGGTTCATCCCTCCTGCCCCACCAGACCCCAGCTGTGGGCGCAGAGCCCAACACAGAACTCATCCTGCAGTGCCCATGGCCATCCCCTGCACCCCAGCTGCACTGTGCTGTCCCTGGCACTGCATCTTTGTCACCCAGCAGCAGCACAGGGTGCCCAGGCAGCACCCAGCACAGCTGAGCAGGCAGCAAGGCATTAATGATCAACAGCCAGTGAAATGCATCACTTATCTCCCTCCTGAGAAAATTCATGGCAGGATCCTTGAACCCCTGCCCTGTGTTGTTTGTCTCTGGGAGGGAGCTGTGTCCAGTTCTGAGTCCTGCTGACAAACAGCAGCAGTTACAGCCCCATCCTGCCCCTCTGCCCATGCATGGGAGCCATGGGGTCTGACAGGCACAGCACCAGCAAACCTCTGTCCTTGGGATATGGCCTGGGAGGAAAGCAGGCAAAGAAAGGCCACAGACACAGCATCTACCATCCAGCCTGGCTGTGCTGCACCCAAGGAAGGTGGTCCCACACCCTGGGCTGAGCTCCTGACCTGCAAAAACACCCCAACAAAACAGGAGTTTGCACAGAAACTGAATTACTCTTGCAAAACAAATCCCCCATCAGCTCACTCCAGGGTCTTCAGCTGAGAGAGGCTTTGGCCAGCGTGAAGGAATGCAGCAGACTTGGCATCTGTTCCAAAAATATTTTGAAACCATCAGCAAGAAATCCTTCCCAGGAGATTTCACAGCAGAAAATGGGGCAAAAGGTGCTGGGGGATGGGGGCCAGCACTCCAATCCTCTAGGAAAATGTCACTGCAGGAAAACTGGAGCCATAGTGGGGAGAGGGCAGGATGGGAGCAGCCAAAGGACAGAGTGGCTCAGCCCAGTACCCCAGTGTGTTTGTGCAGTGCCAGGTGCACATGCCACTGCTCAGGACAGTGCCAGAGGTGCCAGGGTCCACACGGTCCCTGCCCTGTGGGTAAATCCCCAGCCCCAAATCCCTGTGAGGAGCTGGGGCAGGGCAGGGCAGCAGGAGCTGTGTGGGCACTGCAGGTTCTGCATTCTGGCTGCTCTGACCATTGCTCAGGGCCCTGCTCATGCCCTGCAGGGATGTGCACTAAAAATGGGCTGGCTTTCCATGGAAGGACTGGGGGAACCCAGTTTGTGCCCAGCTGTGTGCCTGCAGTGGCCCAGCTGCTCTCTGGCACGCGCTGTGCCCGTGATTCCCAAAGCTCTGGGTGCAGCCCTGGTCAGCACAGCACCATTGGGGGCTGAACGTGCCACGTGGAGAGCCCGTGCTTGCTCCAGAACGTTCCCTGACAGCTGCAAGGTCCAGGCTGGGCCGTGGCAGCGTGCTCACTGCGTCAGCACCGCCCGTGTGGGCACAGGGAGCGGGCTGGGCACGACCTTCCTGCTCTGGGCACACCCCTGGGCACCCAGGGGCCACCGCAGGCCACACTGAGCCATGGCCTGAGCTGCCCCCTGCTCCCCTCCCCTCTCCCGTGTGCTGCAGCAGGCTGAGCTGGCTCCCAGGGGCACATCCACGGCCATGAGGGCTGCCCAAGCCCCTCTCAGCCTGTTCTTGGGGCTCCCCAATCCCCTCTCACCATGTTCTTGGGGCAGCTCAATCTCCTCTCAGCCTGTTCTGCACAGACCCATCCACTACAACAAGGGGATGGACACCCACCGTGCCCCCAGGGACTCTTTGGTGAGTGTTTGGTGTCTGCTGCCATGTGCCAGGGGTGGCACTGACCTCTCCAAGCTCGTTGGTGTCCCCATGCCAGCCTGGCACGGTGGGGAGGGGCTGCACATGCAGCTGGGGGTGTGGAATCAAGGGTCCCCACACAGGGGGGCTGAGCAGGCTGGGCAGCAGCCAAGCCCAGAACTGATTAACACAGCTCAGAACAAGTGTTAAACATTAACTGCCCTGTTTGCTCCATATTCCCTGGCAGGAACCTCCTGCCAGCACCAGGGTCCAGGAGCATGGCCAGGACAGCCCACACTGCCATGCCAGGCACTGTGCCAGGCTCTGGGGCTGCCCCACAGCCTGGGAGCCCCTCAGAGCTGAGCCAGGACCTTCCCTAACAGGGCTTCAGCAGGAGACAGAGCAGCAGCCAGGGGTTTGTTCAGGAAAAGCACAGAGTGCCCGTTTATTGGGAAGGGCACACACAGGGCAGTGCCCAGCCCGGGCTGTGCCCATCCAGAGGCTCAGCCTGGGCTCCTCCAGCAGCATCCCAGCGAGCCCAGGGCAGCACCTCCCTCTGCAGAGCCAGCCCTGGTGCTGCAGTGGCCGGGGAGGAGGTTTGGGGCATTCCACAGCAGCTCCACACCACTCACTGCTGCCACTGTGGGCAAAACCTCGGCTGGAGCCCAGCCCCAGGGGCAGCTGCAGCTTTGTGCTGTGGCCGGCACTGTCCCCTGTGTGCACCAGGGATGGGCAGGAGGTGGAAACTCCATCCCAGAGGAGGGGAGTTCACCCCACAGTTCACAGGGTGAAATAAAATCACTCCCAGGCGCTGCTTTTCAGAGGCTTTGGGTCCTCCCTTGCTGCAGTGCTGAAATGAGAACTGAGCTTCTCCCAACACCTGACCCCGAGCACAGGACGGCCTGGGCAGGGTGGGGCAGCTCCTGTGTGGGACAGAGACCCCCTGAGTGCCCCCCCAGCCGCCCCTGGCCCATCAGAGCCCCCCCAGGGGCGGTGCCAGGCTGAGGTTGAGGAAGCCCCCAAAGTGGAAGGGGGGCAGGCGGGGGGCACAGGCGGCAGCAGAGGACAGGCAGGCGAGGGGGTTGTCCCCACATGCCCCAGCATCCTGCTCACTGCTCAGGTACACACTGTCAGGGGAATCCACTGAGGGGTCCTCGCTGAAGTAGTTGTAGGGCCTCAGGAAAAAGCCAACGCTGTTCCCCACGGTCACTGTGTTGGGGATGTCTTCAGCATGAGGGACGTGCAGGAACCCCACAGTGATCCAGGCCACCAAGTCCTGGAGAAGAGGAACAAAAACATCACCCAGGCTGAGCAGGGCTCTGCCAGCCCACAGCTGCTCAGGTTGGCTCTGGGACAGGAGCAGAGGTTCTGAACCCACAAAGTTCAGCTTCTCCCCACCCCAGGGAGCCTAGCTCACCTGGTTGGTGATGATCTCGTTGTTGATGAAGTCAGCAAAAGCCACAGTGGGCGTCCAGGGGTCGTTCTGGTTGTAGACGCTGGCGCTGGTGGGCTCCTCCTCCTTCCTCCTGGTGACAGCCAGCTGGTACCTGCCAGCACAGGGTCACAGGGGCTTGTCCATGCCAGCCATGGCACTGCCAAGCTGGGGCTGGGCATCCCCAGTCTGCCCTGGGGCGGGGAGGGAAAGGCCCAAGAGGGCAGAGATGGGTAGCAGCCCAGCATCTCCAAGCTTTGTGGGGACTCCCTTGCTGCCTCTGGCTTTTCCAGTATGGGTGGGACACGGATGGATCCAGGTGCAAATGCTGCCAGTCAATGCCCAGTGCACTCCCCTAAGCCACAGCTGCTCCTGCCCCACACAGACATCCCCAGCATGAGCTCCATCAGCTCACCCTGGCACTGGGACTGCTCTGTGCTGATCCCAAGCACTTTCCAAAAGCCATTCTGTCCTCGTGGGAAGGTATCACAGCCTGGCAATGCCACTGCTCCCCTTAGGAATTCCTTCTGCAGCCTACTGCCCCTCAAAGGCAAAAACACATGGGGCTGCTCTAAATTAGTCTGACGTGGGGTCAGACTCCTGCCTGTGACCTACCATGAGCAGATGTTATTGAGCAACAGCTCAAGGAAATTTCAGAGCCAAAAGCTACTCATGTTTGCTTTAACCCTTTGTTTAACCCTTCCCTGCAGCCTGCTGCAGGCCTGCCCAGGGGTGAGAACCTCCCTCCACCAGGAGCAGAAGCTGCTGAGGCCTCAGCATGACTCTGGCACCCACCTGCCCCAGCTGACAGAGCGCTCCATGGAGCTGTTGGTGGGCAGGTGCTTCCCAGCAAAGCTGATGACCTGGATCCTGTAGCTGCGTGGGTGCCCCCACCTGTTGGGGTTGGGGCTGACAAAGGAGAGGTAGCGGGGCAGGGGGACATTGAGAGGGAATGCTGCCTCATCCTCCCTCTCCAGCCGTTCCCTGCGGAGGTGCGGCCGCTCAATGGTGTTCTGTGCGCTCCAGGGATCTTTGACAAACTCATACTCCATGTCCTGGCTCTCCAGGGAGTTCAGCTGCCCTGTGAAGCAGAAGA